GTAGTAGTAGTAGTAGTAGTAGTAGTAGTAGTAGTAGTAGTAGTAAGTGGTGGTGGTGGTGGTGGTGGTGGTGGTGGTGGTGGTGGTGGTGGTGGTGGTGGTAGTAGGAGTAGATCGTAGGTAGGTAGGTAGGTAGGTAGGTAAGTAGGTAGGTAGGTAGGTAGATAGGTAGGTAGGTAGGTAGGTAGGTAGTAGTAGTAGTGGTAGTAGTAGTAGAAATGGTAGTAGTAGTAGTAGTAGTAGTAGTAGTAGTCGTAGTAGTAGTAGTAGTAGTAGTAGTAGTAGTCGTAGTATTCGTAGGTAGTAGTAGTAGTAGTAGTAGTAGTAGTAGTAGTAGTAGTGGTCGTAGTAGTAGTAGTAGTCGTAGTAGTAGTAGTAGTAGTAGTAGTAGCAGCAGTAGTAGTAGTAGTAGTAGCAGTGGTAGTAGTAGTAGTAGTAGTAGTAGTAGTAGTCGTAGTAGAGTTCGTTTTGGATAGAGTACTGCTTGCGCGTCTCCTTCCCGCCTCCCTCCTCTCCTCCTTTCCTGCCTGCCGCTTACCTCGCTTCTTCCTGCGTTCCAGCTTGCCGCCTGCCTGGTCACCCCTGGCATCCTCAGCGGAATGACGTCCTACGCGGGTTGCCAGGAGACCTCGCCATCCCTGTGGGGCTGCGATTTGCCAAACCGCCGCCACTTTCGAGGGCTGCTGGGGGGTCCAGCGGAGTGACGTCTTACCCAGACTCAAATGAGACCTCGCCGCCCCTGTGGGGATTGCGATCTGCCAAACTGTCGCCTCTTTCGAGGATTGCTGGGGGGTCCGCGGAGTGACGTCTTACCCAGATTCAAATGCGACCTCGCCGCCCCTGGTGGGCTGCGATCTGTGAAACTGTCGCCACTTTCTGGGGCTGCCGGGGCGTGCAGCGGAGTGACGTCTTACCCAGATTCAAAAGCGACCTCGCCGCCCCTGGTGGGCTGCGATTTGTGAAACTGTCGCCACTTTCTGGGGCTGCCGGGGCGTGCAACGGAATGGCGTCTTACCCAGACTCGAATGAGACTTCGCCGTCCCTCAGGGGCTGCGATCTGTAACTGTCGCCATTTCCGAGTGCTGCTGGGGCGTGCATCGGAGTGACGTACTACGCGGACCACCAAGAGACCTCGCCATCCCTGGGGGGCTGCAATCTGCGAAAGTCAGGGCCCGCTGCGGCGTCGCCCTCAGGCGATCGTGTCGGCGCGGCAGCCAGGAAAACTCCATGGGCGCGTCCCACCCATCCCTGAAGTCCGTGGATTGGATATCCGACATTTACCTCACGCTCCTCCACAGCGTCTCGGCTGAGGATGCTATTACGGCCATCGACACGATCGTCGTGGGCGCCATCGGCAGTTTCGACGCCAGCCACGAAGCCGTGAAGGCGGCCTTCGGCCGCGTGGTCGCATCGGTGCGGACCTCGAAACCCACGGGCGCCTACGATGCCTTCGCCAAGGTCGCACTTGGGACCGCGCCCAACAATCTGTTTTCCACAGTGGGCCCTCTGGCGGCGAATGAAGCTGCCAAGGCGCTGTGCGAGTTCAAGGGCGCGGCGAGGGCAGCCCGGTGATAAGAACCCCCGGGGCGGAGGCCGAGGAGCTACAGGGTCAGCGCCCCCGTCGAGGTGTGAGCACGCCCATCGTTTTTTTTTGTGCAGTCGAGAGACTTTATCAGGGAGCCCACGGGAACTTCCTGTGCCCAGGCGCGCACAGAGCGTGCCGCTCGGAATGTATGGTGGATCCACGTGGATGAGCTGGGGGAGACAACAAAGTTCGAACCCCTTCCTTGGGCCCGTTTTTCATATGGAGTAGTGTTTGGCAATCCCGTGATCTGGCGGGGGCCTTTTGATGGGCGAAGCGCTTTCGTCTTGATTGGTGCAAGACGTTGGACGTTTGGGTTCCTCCTCCCACCCCCGTTCCTGTCTTCAGGGTGTTGCGTGCGTCGGACGCGTGCTGGCGTGGTCCGCGCGGTGTCTGGCCGAGTGCGGATTGCCGGCTTCGTAGAATAAGCTTCATCAGGGAAAAATCCGTAGGCAGTTGGACAATCTTGCTTGTGGGTCATGGCTTTGCGAGGTCAGCGCTCTTCTTCGGACCTGGTCCCCACGAGCAAGAAAGACAAACACCCCACCCTGTCCTCCTCATTGCATTGGCTGCTCCAGAGACTGGCCAGGCGAGGACGGGGTTGACCACGCTTCAACGGCGCAGCTGCTGTCGTCCGCGGCCGAGTACATGCGCAGGACCGTGCTGCTTCTGTAGGGCTGCTCTGGCGGAGGAGACGTGGGGCCGCGTGCAGTTTACGTTTTGCGGCAGCTTTTTTATATACGGGAGCAAACAGTGACATACACATGCATTTTCGGAAGTTAGCACGGATTTTTTCGGATCAGCGCTGGACCCCCCCTCCATGGCGCGCGGAGCGCGCCAGGGGTTGCGCAGGAGGTGCCGAAAGGGGTCTCCAGCGCCGATCCGGGGAGTCCGCCTGGACACCTCCGAGTTGTTATTCTTATTTTATTGTTTGTCGGGGAGCAGGTTTGCGCCTCGTTCTCGCTTTTGTTCGCCCCCTGGGGAGGCCGTCGCCACCACGGCTGGATTCGCTTCGAACTCGTGGTCACAGCGCACCCGAGGAGGGATACGGGAGCCACGGCATCGGTTCCTTCTGGTTGCCCCCTTGTCGCGCCGCGTGGACGCGGTGGCGACCCCAGCGCCGCAATTGGCCCAGAAGACAGCCATGATCGTCCGAGGCTGAACGACCCGCGCGGCAATGCCGACCTCATCGCGGCGAGAGACTGCTGTAGAAGACGATGCTGGTGGAGGAAGAGGAGGACGATGACAATGAGGCCGAGGAGAGAGACGAGGACGTCCTTCCGCCTGACTGTGCAACCGCTTGTTGTTGGAAGTAAAGCGAGCCTAGCTACGGCAGGTTCAGGGTCCAGTCTTGACACCGTGAGCCGAGTTGTCTGTCCTCGCGTGAAACGCTCAGCCTTGAACGATTCCCGTTCCAGGAAGTCCCCTCACGCTTCCAGGGTGACACGGAGAAACCGCGTAGATAGTTGACAACGATTCATGCGCTATTTCATTCGAGTCCTTAGGGGCCCCAGCAGAGCATCTCGGCGAAATGTTGGGAGAACAAGTTTCGTCCCTTTTTGGTTCTGTATCCTCATTCGACGGAGGTTTTGACTGTAAAATTACGTGTGTGCATGTATGCAGGTACACATTCATACATGTTTTCACTGATGCAAGCATGCATGCGCGACTGAGTGTGTATTCGTGCGCACGTGGATGCAATTCATACATCAGCGAGGTACAAGCAAGTGTGTGAACGCACGTATTGGAAGGCTCTGTTACTTCTCGGCGACCGAACGAGTGCACAAGCTTGGATGCCGGAGAGAAACAACGGGCAATTCGAGAAACTGATCGGCCGTTGATCGCTTTTGCTAGCTGGGCCACCTCGGCCATCCTGCTGCCGGATCGTGCTGCGTCAACACGCGGCTGCCGTGCCTGCCGTGTTCCATTGTCTGCCTCCCTCCCGCCTGCCCGCCCCCGCCTCCTGCGTCCCGCCGTCTAGTGCCTCTCGCCTGCGCGCTCAGCCGCCTCTGCCTGCTTGTCCCCCTCACTCAGTCTTTCTCGCTCTCTGCCTCTCTCTCTCTCTCTTTTCTCTTTTTTTTTATCTTTTTAATCACTCTCTCTCTCTCTCTTTCTCTTTATAATCTCTCTCTCCTCTCCACTCGCTCTCTGCCTCTCTCTCTGTCTCTCTCTCTCTTTTTTTAAATCTCTCTTTCTCTCTCTCTGGAGGCCCTTTAGTGTCCCCCATATCGTTTTGCACATCCGCGTCCTCGGCCGCAGGGACCCGGGGGAGGCGGCGTTGTGACCACGGGGGAAGAGGAAGAGGTTGGGACCATGGGTCAGGTTCCAATTTTGGAGCGCTACTAGCTGTCTCGCGCACTCCCACTCGCCCTCCCGCCACCGAAGTGGCAACCTCCTGCATGGACAGTGACCGCCATACATGGTGCATGGGACACCCATTGGGAACGTACACAGACTCCGGATGCGCCACACTGGCGAGGTGCGCCACGCGTGCCAGGTGCGCAGCGCGCACCTCTCAGAGATCCGATCTGGACTTTTTCAATACGGAGTCCTCGGATTTTGGCGGCCCCAGCCCGAAGCCTCACCGCTGCAGGCCGCGCGCCCCCGGTGGCCCCCCCGCCGCCCGCCACGAGGCGCGCCAGGCGCGCTGCTGTGTGCTCGTGGCGCGCGCCAGGGCCAGGGCGTGCCGGGCAGTCATTATTAACCCACCCCACCCCATCCCAACCCGAAGGCCCCGATCTGCCCTCCGTTTCCAGTGGGGGGGGGTCGGGGACTATGGAAAAAACACCCATGGAAGCCGTACCCCCCCACCCGAAATTCGGGTCTTGGGGTTGGGTTGGGGTGGTCTGGTAGGCAGTCCGGCAGAGCCTCGGCACCCCGTGCCCGGCGCCGGAGAGGAGTGCAGGGGCAGCGATAGGGGGGGCCGGGGATGGACAGCCCCCCCAGGTAGTCCATGCTGCCCTCAACAGACCCCCGGAGTAGGAGACAGTTTCTATACTTTTCGGCGATCGTCTTAGGTCGGGCATGTCCCCCTACAGGGAGATTTTGGACGAAAAATTAAAAGCAGTCAAAAAATATTCCCTAATGGTCGAAAAATACTCAAAAAATAGTCCCCAGGCTATTTTTTTGCTCTTTTTGAAGATTCCTTCTGTAGAGGGACAGGCCCGACTTAACGATAGTCGGGGTTGCCAGATCGGGGATGGACAGACCCCCCTTTAGTAAAACGTGGTTTAGTGAAAACGACCTGAGGCCCAAACCTGGCGGGCGCGGGCCTGGAAAGTAACGGCCACGGCGCCCTCTCGAGAACCGAAAACGGACAATTCACGAATCGACGTGTCACTGTTGGGGGTTCTGTCCACCCCCGAGGGGGGGGAGGCACAGGGGGGGACGCATCGACCCCCAATCGCCGACGGATCGCCGGCAGGGGCCCGACAGCCCCAGCCAGCCCAGGAAGGTGCGGATTCCCAACGGGGGGCCTATCGCCGATCTATCGGCGACGTATCGCCGATTCCAGGTCGATGCATCTCCCCCTATGGCATTCCCCTCCTACCGTTGCCCCTCAGGAGTGCAGAGCAGCGGCGGGATGGCCAGCATGGTGTGCGGTCGTCGGCATCTGCGCCTCGTGAGAGCGTCACGTCGGACGGTTGTTGGCCGATTGCGGCCTCTGTGGGGTGTCAAGACCTCCGGGGAGCCACGTTGTGGAGCAACGCGACGTCGAATGTCTGGGGCGTGGGCGCCGCGGAAAGTATGATTCCCCTCCTTTCACCATCTCATACAAGAGCCGGTTCAGAATAGTGGCTGGATGCCCGCACATGTTCCAGTGTTTGCCGTAGCATGGACACAGAGATGCTTTTTGACAAGGGTGGGGAGGGGCGGCCACTCGAGTTGGGGAGAGGGGCGCTTGTCAAGGAGGGGCAGTGGTTGCCACCAAGGGGAGGTAAGGTCTGCTCAGGGGAGGCGCCGAGGGAGCTCACGGGATGGCCTGTGGGATTGAGGCCTCGGGTTGCGCACAGACAGCCCGTAGTCCCTGCTGGCTGGCTTCAGCAGGCCTCGCGAGTCGTCTGGGGCGGTGTCAACACCCTGGCAGCTGCTCCTCTTCCTCCTCCTCCTCCTACTCCCCCCCCTTCCTCTTCCGCCTCCTATTCCCTCCTTCTCCTCCTCCCCCTCCTCCTCCTCCTCCTCCTCCTCCTCCTCCTCCTCGGTCCCGGCTAAATCTGACTTTGTCGGTTGCGCAGGTCCGACGGGGGGCTGCGCAGGGAGCTCAGGAGGAGCGCGGTGTTCAGTGGCGCGGTGGTGCTCGCAGAGGCATGCCCAAGGGCTCCCTCGAGGGCGCGAAGTTATTCGCGCTTCGCGCTTCGCGGTCCTCGTTTCTCCTCCCCCTCCTCCTCGTCCTCCCATTCTCCCTTTGGGGGGGCGGCGCGAGAGCGCGAAGTTATTCGCGCTTCGCGCTTCGCGTAGCGCGAAGCGCGAAGTTGGGAGCCCTAGCTCAGGAGGAGCGCGGTGTTCAGTGGCGCGGTGGTGCTCGCAGAGGCATGCCGGCGTTCAGAAGCGCGTCCGTTGTTCCTGGCTACTTCCAGCAACATCCCATGCGCTGCGCCAGGGCATCCCTATCATACAGTCGGGGCCCTGAAGAAGGAACCCTTTTCGTTGGGGAGGGGCTCCGTGTTCCTTGATTGTTCTACAGTTTGCCCTGGGTTTTCCTTAGGTTTTCAACGGTAAATCGAAGTTTAACTTGTGGAAAAAAGGGGCCTCGTTCCTTATTTAGGGTTCCTTAGGTCAACGCCCCGACTGTATTCCCAGGCACTCCCAGACGGCGCCAGCATCCTCGCAGCGCTCGTCGCGCAGCATCGTGGGCAGCAGCGGGAGGCGCACTGCTGGTGTGCGCGGGCATGCGTGGGGCTGCCCAACGCGAAAAGGTTAGGCTCGGAGGCCTGGAAATTGGCACCAACACCAAGACAGAGGGTTGCCTCCACAGGGGGAAGATGATCCTAGATTTTCGGTGTTGGTGGTAATAGTTCGGCCACCTTGGAAGCCAGAATATTACCACCATCACCGAGATCGGGATCTTCTTCCCTCGGTGGAGGCACACCGCCGAAATTGGTGTTGGTGTCAATCTCTAGGCCTGCGACTCCCCCTCTGGCAACCCCGACTACCGTTAAGTCGGGCCTGTCCCTCTACAGGAGGAATCTGCAAACATAGTGATAAAATAGCCTGGGGACTATTTTTTGGTGTATTTTTCAACCATTCGGGGGTATTTTTGACTGTTTCATTTTTCGTCCAAAATCCCCCTGTAGGGGGACATGCCCGACCTAAGACGATCGCCGAAAAGTATAGAAACTGTCTCCTACTCCGGGGGTCTGTTGAGGCCAGCATGGATTACCTGGGGGGGCTGTCTGTGCGCAACCCGAAGCCTTACCACTCCTGAGCGTGTCGCGCATATTCCTACGAACCCATCCAGGAGACATTCCTGAGTCAATTGTCATTCAAGGGGATACGCTCCAGGGAGGACGAATGGCTTCGAGGTTTGAGGTTTTCGGACGTTTTCGTCGGTATCGTCGTGTTTCAAGCCTCGGGATGCCTTCCAGCGGCTGCCTTCGCCCAGAGCGTCCTGAGGTTGCCCAGATCGTCCCGAAAGGCAGCCGGAGAGCCGAATTAT